CCACCCCTCCCCACCAAACCCCCCACCAAACAACAGCAAGGAAATGTCAATAAAAAGGTTTCGTACAACATAAATGTCATTATAGATCTTAACTTACTATTACCAGTACTTATTTGTACAGAATGACAGTCAAACATTTTGTTTAGTGCATTTTATGATTTAAAAAAGTAGGCATACCTCTTCTACCACGAATTTTAGCACAATTCCTCTTCATGGTACTGTTTTGTGTATTACAAGACATAAATATATATATAGGTCATGTCAAAAGGGGGTCTATCAGTAACACTCAAAGGTTTTTCAAAGCCTTTTGCCGAGTCCAGACCCGTGGTTTTTATCAGTTTCTGTGGTATTAAGGTAAGGCTCTTTGCCGTTGCACACAGGAGACGTAAGTGCTATTCCCACAAGAGGAATTCATTTTAATCGAGTTGCTCTGTTGGGACACTGTACCGTATCCCACCCGTTCCGGATGGCCCTGACAGGCAGAATCAAAGCAACCCACCTCCTAAATGACCAACAATGAGTCGATGAGGTCGTTATAGAAGACTGGTGGAGGGCATCACTGGCAGGTCCTACTTCTTTCCTCAATCCCTCTTGTTTCTGTCTCTCTCTGTTTTACTTTTTCTAGCAACAAAATGACTGTTATTGTGAATCAGTGCTTCTCTTTACACCGAAAATTAAACTACAGTTGAGAATGGATAATTCAATCACGTGCGGATTGACAAATGTATTTGATATATCCAAATAATTCAGGTTAATTGTAAGACAAAATACCAAAGAGATATCAGTTGGGCAATGGCAAATTGTATGAGCTATCCGTGATTTCGAGTTTTCTGTGCTCATGTTATGTGTGCCCATCTGTACTTGGTGGTAAGGACAAAATGGGAAGGAATTTCACTACATCCCTGTCTGCCTGGGTTGACCATGACAGGTGGCAGGGTTGAAGCAGTCCGTCTCCTAAACAATCCAAATTGTGTCAATGTGGGCATAAAACATTGCAACAACTAAAAAAGACCTCAGCTCATACTATTTCCTTGATGGTAAAGACACAATGCATGCTGTAGAGAAGTTGTTTTTTTACTTCAACTTCTATGAACAGAAACTAGTCCTGCTTTCTCTCTTTTCATCTGTTGTTTACGAGGTCTGTCTCAGAATAAAGTTTCCCTGTCATGCTGTCCTCAGATATAATTATAAATCACCTTGTATTTGGTATCAACAGAAAGTTTTTCAAATACCTATTCAACATAGGAATCATCAAGTTCAAGACACTTTTCCATTTGATGTACTCAGCAGTCAAAGACAGTGGCCAGTGATCATTTGTCCAAGGTCCTGAGTGCTTTACTCATAGCTTCTTGAGTCTGGTCCTCGTCCTCAAATCGCCGACCTTGCAGAGGTGGAAGTTGCATGGAGCGAGATCAGGCGAATAGGGCCGGTGTTCCAATAATTCCCACGAGTAGCCCTAAAAAAGCTCGTTCACAACTCTGGACTTGGGAACAGGCGTGTTGTCATGATGCAGGATGACGCCTTCTTCAAGCAAAGCGGGTCTTTTTGTCTGGATTGCAAGTCTCAGCTTGTCTTTGAGGACGAATCTGTAGTAGTCACCATTGACAGTTACGCCAGGTGTGACTAGCCAGCTCAGTATGATGTCACTCATGTAGAAAAAAACCCAACGTGGTGCATCACTTTTCTCTGCCCGAATTTTCTTTGTGCGCTTCATCTTTCATGTAAGACCTCCCACCTTTAACCTCCCTGATCCATTTCCTTACTGTTCGAATTGATGGGGCATTATTCCCTATTACTTTGTATAGATCACCATGGGTTTCAGCAGCAGACTTGCCAAGAAGAGTTGAACATTTGATCACAACTCGGACATCGTAGCATGAGTAGGTTGCACTAATGTTTTGCTCAGCCATTTTCCTGGAATTTGCCTTGGACAAAGTGCACAAGAACACAGCACTTGACACGTCACAGCTCTATGACCGTGCACCAATGCCCTTGCAATTTGGCGTTGAGATCTTTTAGACATGATGTCATGACGTCACAAAATTTAGCGGCTGTTGGTTGTGTACTTTGGATTTTATGGAGGAGGGAAACTTTATTCTCAGACAGATCTCGTATGTCTCTCTCCCACTCTTTGTTTTACTCTATCCCAGCACTAAATGATCATAACTATGTAACAATGTGCTTCTCTTTTATTCACACTCAAAACAAAATGACTGAGTGTGTCAATGATCATCTGTGTACTTAAAAACTCAAATTTCTTTGTCATAATCATAAAACAATATATGCTCGAGTGGAGGGTTTTTAAAAACTTTACTGCCCACCATAAGAAATAAAAAGCAACTGACCGTCGCTTGGTCTTCTGGTCTATGAGCCACTGCCTGAACAGTGAAATGGACATCCCACCCAGGACTATCTGCATGGGGTTGTACACCAACAGGGGCACAGACAGGAAGCTGATATTGGGGTCGCCCTCGAAGATGATCTCAATCACCGGGATACCTGGAAGGAAAAGTTTGTTTCTTGTAGTGGTTTACACCTCCACTGACACAATTGAGGGCAGAGGATTCTCACAGTTTGGGACACTCAATAAAAATACTGAGAGGTGGAATGAAAGGAGAAGTGTGTTTGTTTGTCAACACTATAACAACATTAACTTGACTAAGTACAAGAAAGAAAGTATGAAAGACAAACAAACAGAAACATTTGTTTGTATGTTTGAGTAAAGAAGCAAATTGACAAAATATGGGCATGGAAAAAGCAAGACAGACGAAAAGAAATAATTTCTTCTTCTTTAACTGGTGTCACATCTAAAACAGATATAATAGGTGATCAAGGCACGGTACGCCATTCCTTCCTGTTGTCAGTCTTGCGCATCCCAGTTTGTAATAGTCAATGTGGTCACTTACCCAAAGTGAGAGACTTGTGCGTCCCACAGTATGTAATGGTCACCGAGTCATTGGACGTGAAACTGAACATGGAATGAGAACTAAACAACAGGAGGAAACACATGAAGCTCAACTGCAGGCAAAAAACTGCAAACAAAAGAAAAAAACAAAAATTAGTTTAATGTAGTAACAGTTTGCATTTTACCCCTCTTTCAACATTGGAAGTTTAATTAAAGAGAACTTTCAGATTTATTATCCACTGTCAACAAGACTGAGCAATTAAGTCGGCAGAGAGTCCTGAAAACTCCAAACTCCGCAAAACAATCAAAGTTCAAGAACTGGGAAGTTCATTGGAAATTCAAACCAGAGTCGCCCACATCATAGCCCTGCAGGGCACTATCATATCTTTTGCATTCAGGGTGAATGGCTTTACCATTTCACCACAGACACCAGTCGTCCCTTCTCCCATAGAGACAGGAAATCATTAAAAAAAAAACCATAGTCAACATATAAACTAGTCCTGGAAATTGCAAAGGATTGTGTTGTTATACAAAGATAAAATAAAAAAACCCTGAAGAAATTCATGAAATCAGACCAACCACAATAAACATAGGCAAAATAAACATGTCACACATCTCAATGACCAGCACATGAGGTTTGTCGTAAAAAAGCAGGAAAAACTTCTAATAAAACCAACCATAAAGTGAGCAATATAAACAGGTCATAAACCTAACCAACCAGCCACATGGGTTTGCAAATTCATAAAATTTTTCACAAAATACTTGCAAAAAACATCTCAAACAAGGAAAGATACCTAGAGTTAGATTCTTATGAGTGCCGACAAACATAATGGCGACCGCGTCTTCAGCTGTGTAGCTCAAGAGGAAGCGGGAGGAGAGCAAGAGGAGCGCCATGATCCCCACTTGAAGAGATAACACTGTGGAGGGGGTGGGAGGGGAGGGGGGAATGTCCACACAAGGGGCTAAAGAATGTAAATTAAGAATATTTTGATCTTACGTTCCCATTGACACAATTTGGAGCATTTAGGAGGTCGTCATCATCATCATCGTCGCTCGCCTTTCTCACACTGGATCAGGGAATAGGCTACAAACAAATACTTTTCACCTTTTCCTATCCTGGGCTAGCCTCTCAATGTTATTCCATGTCTTCCCAGTTTTTTGTATATAGGAGAAGGAATGCTTCAAACCTCCTGTCTGTCAGGGCCAACTCAGGCTGAGTGAGATACTTGAAAATGATAAATTATAAGTTCACTGCCTGTGAATTGAACTCATGTCTTCCACATGCAATAGCAAGGAGCCCAAATGCTCCACCACAGATGGTAATCAGAAAAGGGAGAGAATGTATGCATGTAAGTTACGTCAGTGTGCTCTGAGAAAAAGTAGGCCTACACAGATAATGAGTCATATCCAGTGATTATGACTCATTGCAATTTATTTACGCTTTCAAGGACAAGATTTAGATTTTGTAAAAGGCAATCTGCTTCAACCCTGTCTGATTGGGCTAACTCAGGTTGAGAGGGATACACAGCACACTAGCAAAACAGAAGGGCAGGTCTTCGGCAAGTAACAGCAAGAAGCTGAACCATTTACCACAAACATCAGTGAGACAAGGGCGAGAAGTGTACCAGTTGAGTAAGTCACATGTGTGTGTGTGCTGGTGACTTCCTTACAAGTCATGGTAAGTTTTCTAATAGATGTTGACAATCCCATTTTTATTAAAGGTTTATTGGACATAAATTTAACTCACATTATTATACATTTCTCACTTTATGGAAACAGTCAGTAGATTTGAATATCCTCACACTCACAAAGAGTCCACCCCATTTTTCTCCTTTTCCCTCTTCTCTCCCTCACATGATAATAGCCTACATCAAGAAACTAAAACAAAAGATTGTCAACACCTTCACTAACCAAAATGATATAAATACAATGCAAAAAGTGCATAGGCCTATATGATCCTACGAATGAAATACGCACGAGAGACAAAAACAACTGGAGTTTGAGGAGTAGCAGTAAGGCGCTTCTCCATCGTACGCAGGAGAATCGAGTTAAAATCCACAGCCAGGGAAAATTTTTGCGAAGTATATTAGTCTTTCTGCTGTGATGCTGTATCCCTCTAAGCCTGGGTTGGCTCTGACAGGCAGGGTCAAAGCCCACCTTCTACATGATCTAAATTTTGTGGATTGGGGCATTAAAAACACTTACATACAATAAATGAGAAGCCCAAATCATACAATGAGTTCACCAAGAAACTATGACACAATCAAAAATAAAATTTAAAAAACCTTACTTAACACAATGGTGGAGAGCAGAGACAGAGTGTCCATCTGGATGTCCGTGCGGGAGAAGGTGGCACAGAATGTCGTGTAGATGATGAACAAGATGAGCACGCTGAAACACAGTGAGAGATCGAAGACGCCTCAGTTCACAACCAGTTTGTTAGCATTTAGAGAAGCACAATGACACAAAAATAGTCACGTAATTGTCATCAGCCTTTCTCAGTCCCTGCTGGAATATAGGCTACCAACAAGATCTCCCTTTCTACTTCCCAGGTTTTCTCAAGGTGTGTCCAATTCCCTTCCATTTTCTCTTTCTGATTTCTAAATCTATCTTTGGTTGAATTGATAGCTTCCATAGTTGTTCATTTCTTATGACGCTAGGCCAATGGACTTTTAGTATTCATCTGAAGTAGCCATTGATTTTGCCTGTTGCTTTTTAGAAGTTTGCTTAGTAAGTTTCTATGTTTCAGATCCATAGAGTTGTACATTTTTGACACAAGTGTTGGAAAACCTTGTCCTGGTTTTTGTTCCTATAATTCTTGACATCCATATGTTTTTTAGTTGTGTGAAAGCACCTCTAGCCTTGTGTACTCTTGTCTTTTTATCTGAACCTGTTCCTTCAGCATTGTTTATAATGCAACCCAAGTAATCGGAGAAATCAACCTCTTCGTCTTTTGGTACGAAACCTGAGAGCCGCATCACTAAATCGGTCATTAAATTTTAAGAAAGGAATCTATTTGTATAGTTTTTCATCATATGAAAGAACTCCCGGCAAGAGTGACCTATTTTCCGCTGTTGCTGACATCTCTCCGTCAAGGAATTTAGCCAAGCCGCTGACAGCGGATCAAGGGCACGCCCATTCTTATTCCAAGCTTACCAGAGATGACTTTAGGCGTGTCATCTGTGAGATATTTACAAGATCTTTTATTTTCTCCTTCATTTGGTGGCGACATTGTGAAAGTAGAACAAGATCATCTGCAAAGTTCGGGTCTTCAAGTTGTGTCTGTAATTTTCACTGGATTCTGTCTTTCCGTGTTCTGCGTTTGTTTTCCTGATCCACCTGATGGCAAGCAGCAAGACAAAAAGAGACAGTATAGATCCTTGTTTACCTCCAGTGTGTATCTGGAAGCCGTTGGTGAACTGACCTTTGTGGATGACTCTGCAGTTTGTATCCCTGCGGTATTCCTGGATTAGCCCAACAGGTTTTTGTGGGACGCCAAGTCTGAAAATTTTCCATAAGGTGTCATGATGGATGCTGCTGAAAACTTTCTCATACTTCACAAAGTTGATTAGAAATTACGAGTTCCATTCCAGTAACTGAACCGCTGTGATCCCAAGTGATGCAATTCGTTCTAAACAGGATCTGTTCTTTCTGAATCCTATTTGGTCGTTTCTTAAATGTGGGTCTAAATTCTTTTACACACACTCTGGAATAATTCTGTTGAATACTTTACCTGAGATGGATGATAAAGTTATCCCTCGGTAGCTTTTACAGTTACTGACGCCAGCTTTCTTGGGGAGTTGGATGAGGTGTCGTTCTTTCCAGCCCTTTAGAAATCTTCTTTATCCCAGAACTTTTCAAAAAGTGGATGGAGGATGTCAGCTGTCGTCCCTTTATTTGTTTTTAGTGCATCTGCAGTGATGTAGTCAGGTCATGACGCTTTTCCATTTCGGAGCTGAGAAAATGCCTATTCGACTTGTTCTTTTGTTAGTGGATACTTTACTTTACTTTAACTTTTCCGATCCAGCGGCCATCTGGGTTCTAGCCCTTCGGCCTGATTAGTTAGAGGATCAATAAAGATGTTCCAGTCAACAACTTTTGGAGGTATATCTGGTGGTTGTTCTGGGGCTGGTCTGTTAAAAAGCTCTTGAAAACGCTGGGCCCATCTATTGAGTTGTTCAGCTTGTCCCATTAACCTTCTTTCTTTTCTGTGTTTGTCTTGAACTGGAGCTACTGGCCTGGTATATTTCCCCCGAAGTTTTCTCATTGCTTCATGTTGCAATGTAACACTGCTTCTTCTGTTGTTTCAGCTGGACCTTCTGTAAATTTATGTTGGTCATCTCTCATTCTTTTCTTGATCTCTCTGCTTGCTCGCTTATGTTCTTCCTGAGCAACTGCCTTAGCGACTCTTGTCTTACATACACTCAGTGTTTCTTCCTTAGCTCTCCTGGTTAGTACTTTACCAAGCGACTCTTTTGAAACTCATACCTTATTCTGATGTTCCTTTTTGTCCAAGCTCTTCTCTGCATCTTGTTAATGTCCCTGATGGTTGTCCAATGTTCCTCTATGGCTACGTACTCCTATTCCAGAAATTCTGACAGTACGTGAAATCTGTTTTTCCAAACCAAATTAAACTGTTCATGGATGGTCAAAAGGTGGAGAAGAATTTTAGTCTTTTATTCTTTGTGGCCATTTATTGCTGTTTTTTTCCTTAAAATTTTGGACTAAATTTCCCAAAGGACAGGGTGATGATCTGACACTGCATCTGCCATCTATACACTCCGACGTCTTCCATCGTTCTCTTAATTTTTTGTGAGGCACATATATACATATATGTGATCTATTTGGTTCTCTGTGGCACGGTCAGGTGATATCCACACTGCCTTGTGAATCTTCTTGTGAGGGTTAACTATACCCCCAATCAACACATTGTTCATTGCACACAGGTTCCTGAATCTTTAATAATTGACATTACTCTCTCCCAGTCCATATTTTCTTGTCACATCATCAAATTGTCTTTCCCAATGTTGGCGTTTATACCTCCCATAAAGCTGCTGACATCTTTTTCAGGGTCCAGAATACTGATCCAGAATACTTCAAAGCTGGTCATAAAATTCATCTGTACTTACTTCCTCCGTATCATTTGTGGAAGCATAACACAGAATGATGTACATGTTGATTCCTTCGTTCCTGACCCTGAATGAAGCTGTGGTAAGTCTTGGTCCATGTCCTTCACATGAAACGATGGCTTTCGAGCTGATCCAAATAACATGAATGTGTTATTGTATGTGCCCGTTTGTATATGCTGAGCTGTCTGCCATATGTTTTGAAGAAGAACTCCCCCTCATAGAATATCTGAGTTGTCCTGATTGTTTCCAACTTGTTTCACTAAGCCCCAAAATACTAATGTTGTATATTTTCTTGTCTTCAGCTACCTGAAATGATTTACCTGTACCGTTCATGTTCTTTATATCCAAGGTCCCAATTCTTGTTGTCCTGGTCAACAGTTGACAAATCCCCTTGCTGGCTTCCACCAGGCTTTCAAGTATATACTTGTCATCATTACCAAAGATGTTTACACTTTTAATAACTCTTCTTGGAGTCTCCATACATAATGGCCACTTAGTGATGGTAAAAAGTAGGAAGATAGACATAAATTAGCAAGAACCATGAACATTTTTTTTTCTGCTTTAAAGCCAACAAAACAATGTGCATATTATAGCCTTATCTCTGCTGAGTAACACAGTTTTTGAATTTTGACAATTCGTTCATAAATAAAAAAGTTATGATTTTTTTAATGATTTTTTTTTTGGGTGACTCTCATATAAGGAAAATATCCCAAAACACGGTCCACATTTTTGGGTGTTTTGAGGCATTTTTTATCAAAACTTCCGTATTAAACGGAATACATGAATGAAACTTGGCAGCCTATTGTAGTTTTTCCTGCAGAACCTATATCTATAAAGATATTTGATGTATCTGCAGTAGTTTTTAAAATATCAGGGGAAATGTGTAAAAAAATTCATAGAAATGTTAGGCCAAGGACTTGCGGCCAACATTCAAACTCCTGCAACTTTCTTATTTTTTAAAATATATCTACGAAACTTGGCTATCTTTTGTATTTTTTCCTGCAGATTCCAAATCTGCTGTTATTTTTTTTGTATGAAAGGCTGTTTTATCACTGTGAGCGAAAATATTGAAAAGGTACCCTGGGTATGTTACTAAAATGGGATACCCATTAACTTTTCTTGCAATAATTTGGTGTATAATTGTACAACATAACATACCAGGTGTGCTCTGTGTACAGGCACCAAAAACAGATAAAGAATGAAAGCAAACGAACATCTGAAATGGATCAGAAGACAAGAGAAAGTGTACTGACAATGTTGGGTTTATTTGAATTTTAAAAATTTTGCTTGAACCTCCTTAGCATTTGCAATACACCAGATGCCCCCCCCCCCCCAAAGAACGTGGTTGTGGCTCCAGCTCGGTGTCCACAACGCCTTTTCTTGCAGAAGTTTACCCATCTCCGTACCGGCACAAAATTGGTAGAAAATACCAGTAATCATACATAAAAAAGACCCCTCAGTCACCAACTTTTTAGATTTAATCTTGTTCCTTGCTAACGAGAAAGCCATACTATGAATTTTTGTAAGCTACTATAACTATGTAGTATTATAGTTCCTGTTCCTTGGCACGAAACTGACTAGTCCATGTAGATCTAGGTCGGGGGAATAACAGGATCGAGAGAACAGTCCACATCGATCGATAACGCACGAATGTGATCTCTCCTCCCCGATTTTTTTTTATGCAGAAAGTCTTTTTATCATATCCAAAGCAAATAAATTTCATGCAGGCATAAAGATAAAGCCTAAAAAGTGATTTTTAGCTTTTGGAAAGCCGAACTGGTGAACATGGTTTCCCCGTCTCTCCCGCGCAGTAGACTTTCCCCGACCAGTTTCTTTATGACGTCATAGAATTTTCCACTCGACGCAGGCTAGCCCAACCTACTCAGCAGAATGCCCGAATGCAGTCGAGTTTGGGTGGTGTTTTGCAATGGTACGCAAAAAGTCTGCAACGTACATTAATAAAATTTGAAGACAATAAAAAAGAAAGGTTGTCAACCAAGGTTGTGAAAAAGAAATCCAAAATTCCACCAAATCTGGCGTAGCCGAGTGCTCAAACTTTGGACACGAACAGTACCATAACCAAGTAACCTACGCGTTTTCTTTTTCGCATGTGACTAGTTTGACCTCTTTTCTCATTGGCTGCTAAGTTTCGCTTTCATCCATTGAGAAACAAGCCCGTACGAGTGAATGAAAATAGGGCACCGTGAGAAAATGGGTCCGGTAAAACAAGCCCCCAGCGCCTATACTGGAGTCCCCGATTTCGGTCATACTCATCGGCGCTGCGTGGGCCTTGCTACATAAATAACAGAGAGAAAGAAAAAAAGTAGGTCTTACCAGAGGCACCCTCCCATCCACCCACAAGAATAACATAGACAAACTGAAAGAACAGAGAAAAAGAAAAGAAGTACACCAATCTTCCAGTTGCATCCTCTAACTACCCGCCCCAAGAATTCATCCCTTACTGTCCAATGGTCCTGAACGGAATCCTCTGCCTCTGGAGCCAGCGGTATTGAGAGTTGCGGATGATCTGGCCGATGATAAGGGGGAGAACTACCGTGGTGAAGAGCTGCTGGAAAATTTTTTGTGTAGGAACTTGCACATTGGAGGAGCCCAGCTGGAGAGAAAATAGGGTCTATGCTCTTTACAGTAACAAATTATTACCCCAACAGACCCTGTCACATTATGATACATTCTCAGCTTTCCAAGAAGCACTCAGTATAAATTGCCATCTTATACCGATAATCATTCATTCATCAGAAATAAACATGAGACAAAAATGTACTGTACGCCCACAGCTTCTGACTTTGCCTATCTATTGCTGAATTCTGCAAACAACCAAGTTTGACAGCCCTAAGCAATTATGTTACAGAACAATTATCACATAGCATAGCACACAAATTTTTACAAACAATGCAACAAAAGATCTAAAATTAAATAAATTAATGAAGACAGGTTTGAAATACAACATAAGAAAATCAACTGAACTGAAACTTAATCATTCAAAAATGACAGAGGAACTAATGTATGAGTAGAAATGATGAGAAACCTACCAATAACAGAATGAGAGACGGAGTGACAAAGATCCCCTGGGGAAAGACAAAGCAATGCTGAACAAATAGTGAAATAAAGCACACATAAAGCCATATATATAAAATAACATACAACTTTTGTAAGAAAAGAAAACATTTTGATGTCTAAAGATGATCAACTGATGTCTAAAGATAGGTCTATAGATGATTAACTGATGTCTATAGATGAATAACTGATGTCCATAGATGATTAACAGACGTCTATAAATGATTAACTAATGTCTCTATATGTGAGGCATCGTGGTGAAATCAGGCACGTGTCAAATTAACGAAATCGAAGAAACAAGCATTTTTCCGCCAGTCAGGCAATTTTTATGGGGGGGTTTTTTGGGGTTTTTTTTTTTGGGGGGGGGGGGGTTCAAACCCTTTTCTGCCCATACAAAAACATATTTCTATGTGAATTTTACTTTAAAAAAACCTTGATTAAAGGCACAAAATATGTCACTTCAGTTTTCAAGGACTCTTTAGTAATTGGAGTTACCATACTCTGGCGGACATTTTCTCGCTGATTTCACCACTGAAACCAGGCGATATCACCTCCTTCAATTGCAAATATCTTGACTTCTATTCAAGATAGATGTGAATTTTTTTCACCGAAAGCAAAACAAATGAACAAGTTTTCAGATGATAACGATACCTTCACACGCCTAAAAATTGACAAGTGCCTGATTCCACTGTGTCATGACACATATGTCTACAGACGCTCACCAGATGTCCACACATGATCAACTAATGTCTATAAAGGCTCAACTGATATCTATAGATGTCTACAGATGCTCAACTGATGTCTACAAATGTCTATGAATCGTTAGGCGATGTCTATAGACACTCAGCTGACGTCTAAACTAAAGTCTACAGAAGATCAATCGAATGTCTGTTGATGGTCAATTGATGTTTATATATATACGATCAGTTGACTCTATAGATGATTAACTGATGTTTAAAGACGATCGACCAAACTCAGTAGGCAATCAATTGGGGTCTAAAAATGATCAAATAATGAGTCATTTGCTTAACTGTAGAGTCACGGGACATACTGAAAAGTAGACACACAGACATTGTTTTAGCTGCAGCGTTAAATTGTAAAATACATGAACAATTGAAAGTCTTATCCTCACAATGTCTAGGAGAAGACTCACCAACATACTCCCAAATGCAGAATTGAAGACAGCGGCAGCCTAGATGTTAGAAAAAAAAATGGCAGTGAAATTTGTTTGTGAATGACGGGGGAACTTGTAGGATAGACAGAAAATCTGAAACTTCTACGGGTTTAGCTTCAGAAAATACAACAATGAAGTTAAAACAGTCATTTAGGGCAGGGAAAAAAGCAAGACAGATAAAAACAAAAGACGAATAATAGAGAAGTACGACATAAAAGTGGCCCCATTGACCCCTCTGTCCCCTCATCTGCAGAATTCACATGGGTGGGGGTCAAAGGTAGAGATGAAGACTTCAAGTCAAGTTTATAAAACCTACCTACATGAATCTATCAAGAAAAGGATGTTTTATCCCTTCAGAGACAAAAAAAGTAGAGATGCATCACTCCTCGATTCAGGAGAGATTGGGGTCAGGCATCCGGTGAAAGTTTCACGCCATACATCTAATAGTCTGTTCCACACAACCGATGAGTCACCTTATTGCTTTCATGGTAAATTAAGCAAGGGGGTTTGTCAGAATGGGTTTTTAACACCATTTCTCTTTCTTTACCGCCATGTCATACCCACATCCACACATGAAAAATGGAGTCAGATCATTCAAGTAATTCTGGTCAAGATTTTGATGAAAAATTCAAAACATGCCGTACCGCCTGTTTCCTCTCGGTCAGCATAATTATTGGCCAGTCTCGGTCACGTCCCCTCTCCTTATTCCTGGCCTCATCTCATTGCATTAGAGCGCACAATACGCCAGATCTTTTCTATTCTTCTACTTCTACTCCTTTTTCTTCATCATTTTCTTCTTGTTCTTGTTTTTATTCATGTTCTTCTTCATTTTCTTCTACTTCTTCTTCTCCCCCTCCTCTTCTCCTTCTTCTTCTCCTTCTTCTTCTTCCTTCTCCTTTTTCTTCTCTGCCTCCTCCTCTTCTTCTTTCCTTGGAGCATAAATTTGATGAATTTATTAATATGCGTCCATTTATTTATCAACTTCACCACATACCACTACTTCCGACGTATTGACTGAGATGGCCCCTCGCTCCTCTCTCGGTCCCCTGTATTAACTATAGAAAATAACAAGGGGAAGTGACTTTGTTGAGAGGAACAGACTATGAAATGTACGGCGTGACACAGCTTTGAGGCACTGCGTCACCGATCTCGTGTAAATAACATGATGCGAAGAGGGGCCAGCTGACGAATGAAATATCTCTCACTAGTCATCTCCGATCCCTTTATGAAGAATCTGATACACAATAGGTCATTTACTGCATGGAAAAGCAAGACAGACAAAAAGAAAAAAAAGAGGGATAGTAGAGATGTACCAGTACGACCTAAATTGGGCACAATAAAATGACTTACAGGTCACCACTTAACTTGTGATAAGACAATTAAACACACACTGAACAAAAATACCATAATTTATTTCATTTTAGACAAAGAAATATCTTTTTACGTATCAATCATAATGTACACATTAGAATGATTGAAAAAGTCACATGAATGGCTTTCACTACTTTAAGTTTAACGTCAAATTTTGTACTCCTAGGAAAACACCCTACCTCATTGCCACCCACAGACTTCGTCAGAATGATGGCTGAAGACACAGGGGGAGGCATCGTGCTCAGAATTGTCATTCTGTTGAATACAGTGTGATTTTACATTATTTAAATTACATAAAAAATAATAAAAATGTGAGTGACTTTACCTTACAAAAAAGTAGCAAAAGCAATGCCTCCTCATGGCTTGTAGATAAATAAATCTGTTATTTTTGGAATATTACTTTTGACTTTCAGTAAAGAGATGCACATCAAGACAATAATGGTTATTTACTGCAGGAAAAAAGCAAAATAGACACAGAGGAAAAAAATAAGGCTTGGGGGATAGTAGAGAAGTATGACCGAACACAGTAGCCCTCCAAGCACCTACCATTCAAATTACATTAAAAAAATAATAAACATACATGGTGACCCAAGAGCAAATCTGAAGAACCCTTATGAGTTATATAATCCATGGCAACAGCTATCAGGGTCCTATAAAAGGATAAATAATCTGCCCCAAAAAGAATTTGATGGAGTGGAACTCCCAGTTGAATGTCAACTTTCTTGACTATGACAAGGCCTTTGACAGCATAGACCGAGCAACACTGTGGAAGATACTGAGACATCACGGAATCCCCCAGAAGTTTGTTAACTTCATTGGGAGCATGTACGAAGGGACAAGTTGCAGGGTTATACATGATGACCAGCTCGCCGAGACCTTTGACATCAAGAAATGGCATACAGTGGACCCCATGGACACAGTTGGATGACCTGGACTTTGCAGATGACTTGGCGCTTCTGTCACACACTCAGGAACAGATGCAAGCAAAGAAAACAATTTATAATAGCCTATCAGAGTCTGTTGGATTGAGAATCCACCCCGGAAAGTCAAAAGTCCTAAGGATAGATGCGCTACGAAAGGAGCAGGTCACAGTAGAGAGAAATGCATTAGAAGACGCTGAATCCTTCTGCTATCTTAGGAGTATAATAGACAGGGAGGAACAGGCACTGAAATAAAGTCCCGTATTGGAAAGTCACAAACTCTATTTATTTCTTTGAACAGGATTTGTAGGACCAGGGACATTTCACTAGGGACAAAGCTGAGAATTTTCAACTCAAATGTGAAGTTAGTCTTGTTGTATGGATGTGAGACGTGGAATGCACCTCAGACGTGCATAAAGAGGATCCAGGTTTCCTTAAACAAGTGTCTGAGGAAGCTCCTGACGATCAGATGGACAGACAGGATTACCAACGAGGAAGTATTAAGAAGAATAAGACAGATCCCAGTCAGAGATGAGGTGGGAAGAAGGCGTTGGTGATGGGTCGGACACACTTTCAGGAAATCAAGCAGCTGCACTACAAGGAAAGTGTTTGATTGGAACCCACAGGGTAAAAGATCAAGGGGAAGACCACGAGGAACCTGGAGAAGAGTCACAGAAATGGATGTACAGAAAAATGGGAAGACAAGGAGTGACATCAAGCGACTAGCCGAGGATAGGGAAAGGTTGAAAGTGTTCGTTCGTGGCTTATATCCTGATCCAGGGTGAGAAAGGCAATGATGATGATGAAAAGGGATTTGAACTCTTGACATTTCCCCACAAAGGGAACATTGCAGCTACAGCACAGACAGTTAAGAGTTTGAGTAAAGAGAAGCACATCGACACAATAAAGAAGGAATACAGACAGACAGAAACAAGTGGGAGAGACAAGAAGTCGAACTTACCAGAAACAACCTTCAGCTACACCCAACACACATTGCAGTACTCACCCCTCCAGCAAGGCTGGATGAAGGAATGTGTATTGAAGAACTGATACAAGGCCATACACGATCAGTGGAAATACGACAAAAGTAAAGCCTTGGACGAGCAAATGAAGCTGCCATTGGAAAATCGCAGTTTTGAGTTCCTGAGGAAGGTATCGTAATAAAAGGCAACATCTTTAAACATCTTTGAAGAATGAACAATAGAAATTTCATAGCAACAACATCACACAGATAAGTGTAAGAGTCTATGTACTTTGCACAAACTGCATATTTATATTATCATAAAGCTTTTTTCAACAAGTGTACCTACTTTACTTTCAACACAGAGTTACATTATGCTGATGCAATAGTATTTAAGCAAAAATGGCTGTCATATTATGGCCCCAATAAAGTATTTCTTATAGGCTACTGTTTATTCATATAATAGCAATAAAATAATTGGCGGCGAACTTGCAAAAAAACCCAATTTTTATTCCTCGTCAAAGTACCTCAGTAGGTAAAGTCAGTCCACTGTTGAGGAAGATGACGGAGACCGCAATATACTTGACAGTAATTTCTGGTTTCAGAATACCTGCAAAAATAAAATCTTATAAAAATCATTATAACCAAAGTAACAAGAAAAAATATAAAAGACAGCATAGTTCCACCCAGACACTCATATTTTGATAGTGAAAAAATTGTTGCAGTAATTTGCAAAAACACACAAAAACAGTAAGCAGTAATTATATTAAACGACTCAGCAGCATGTATTAATTTTGGAAGCTCCATGTATGTGTATGAATATAACATGTTACCTTTTGCTGTAGGCTAACTATTCTTGTTTGTGAAGTATCCTTCCTCCTAACACAACAAACTTTCAATATCTCAAACTAGCAACTGATCGCGATTTGTTGATAAACCATTCCATTCAACAGCTCCATTTCAAAACCAATCACACCCCCCCCCCCCGACGACCTTACTGCCTTACTGAACCAGTGTGAGGACCTATCTTGGGGAAGGTCCATCTGAGCCTGAGGAAGGTGTGTGTTTAACTTAATGAAATAGAAAGCAGAGCTCAGTGGCGGAGGGTGGACCAAAATTTGGATCGGGCTAAGGTTTCTTCCACTTCTTTACCACGCCAAATAGCAAGCAATAAGAAGAAAACAGTGATGATTTTTCAACGATGAGCCACGCATTTTGAGAACAATTCAAACGAGAAGGGTCACCTTTGTCTTCCATCTCTTTGTTCTACGTAAAATTCTTCTGGGAGGTGGGGACGAAACCGTGTCACCTTGAAATTTCTCTAATTAATTTTCATCTGAAGAAAAAGTTGCTTCAAAAGTGGTTTGATATAATTAATAACTGTTAAATCTCAGCGGCACACACACACACACACGCACATCACTCCAAACGTATACCGTCTATGAGCTAGATTGGGTCGTGTAGTTGAGGAAAGTAGAACACCGAACAAAGGTCTAATGGGCGCACAGGTAACTGTGTCACTGGGGGAAAGTGTGTCGTAAACT